ACATTTAAGTAAACACAATGCGTGACTGTTCTCTGTGGTTGTGTGTATTTTCCCCCTGCAGATATCTGCATCTCCTGTGGAAGCCTCAGCGTCTCTCTGGAGCATCCCCTCTTCATGGGAGCAATGTGTGTGGGTTGCAAAGTAAGATGCTTGCTGATAAATCATGAGTAATATTTTGCACAAGCTCGATGAAATTGTGTAAGGGTAACATCACCCAACATATTTTCCCAATTCAAGACGATACGTAGAAAGGATTATTAAATTTTGTGATCTCGTGAACAATATAGATTTTTTATTTTTTTTTTGGTCAGTAAGAAGGATGAAAAAGAAATACAATATTGAATGATTTCAACCTCTGTTTTTCTCCTGGGCTCTGATAGAATTCCTTTTTAGAGTGTGCCTACCAGTACGACGATGACGGCTACCAGTCCTACTGCACCATCTGCTGCGGAGGCAGGGAGGTGCTCATGTGCGGCAACAACAACTGCTGTAGGTCAGTACGCTGCAGATGATCTTGGGATTCGTGTGCGGCACCAGTCGAGAGTTGGTGTGAGCTTAGAGTGGACTTCAGTGGAACCGCTGCATCTCCTTTTATGGCAAATTGTGAAAACTAGTTCTCTCCGCCGGCAGATTTATTTGACCGGAAAAGCAAAGGCCGGGGTCAGTTTTGCAGTGTGAAATTTGTTGCAGTTAAAAGTGCTGGCTCGAGTTAGTGATGATTGTGTCATGACTGTTTATTTTTTTTTAAGGCCCAGGAAGTCAACAGATGTCTGTGTGGCATCTCACTGGTCTTGAGAAAAGCTTCCTTGTGCATGCGTTTTTGCTCAGGTGTTTCTGCGTGGAGTGTGTGGATCTGCTGGTGGGAATCGGCTCGGCGGCGGCGGCCATCAAAGAAGATCCATGGAACTGTTACATGTGTGGGCCCCGAAACACCTACGGGTTACTGCGGCGACGGGATGACTGGCCTTGCCGACTACAGCATTTTTTTGCCAACAATCACGAACAGGACTTTGTGAGTCTCACTTGTGTCATTACATCACACATAATAACAGTCACCTGCGCAGAACCTTCCCTTCATTTGGATCAATCACAGTCCACGTGCACTGCTGAGAGGGCCCCTCTCACAGTCAGTCAAAGATTTTGATGCTTAACGTTGTTAGCGATGTTCCTGGCCCACATTAGCCGGTCTCTCTAATATTTTG